TCGAATAGTTTTGATGCACTTCGATATTCAGGTGAGCAAAAAAAAACAATGAATATTATTTAAATTATTATTTTTATTTTATTAGCATTATTAGCCGGCGGTATTCTATTATTTGTTTCTGTTATTTCACTACTCGTTTATCTTATTCGTAAACGTCCTCAAATATTATTCTTTTGTACTAATAAATCATTAACTTCAAATTCAAATCGAAAATCAACAAATCGACTAACATTAGATTCATCTATTTTACAACAACATCAACCATCACCTTCAGTAAATTTATCTCGTCCACGTTATACGCCAGCACCTGATATAAATGATTTACCACCATCTTATTATGCAGATAGAAATCAAACATCAATAAATGATTGTTATGAACCACCGCCATATCCTGGTCCACCATTATTTTCTCCAGTACAACGTACTGATTCAATTTATTATGAAACGATAAAAACACCGTCAACATCAAATTCAATGTCTATGCTACATCCAATGCCTTTACCTGAGCCACGTGCCTTTGCAAATGCTCGAACACATCGTGTATAACAAAATATTAATTGAACAAAATGAAAATTTTATATTCGTTTTTTTTGTCTATTATTATTTAAATATGTAATGAGAAAGAAACCTTCTTTCTTCTTTTTTCTTTTTCTATCGACCTCCACCAAAAAGACGAGATAAAACACTAGCTCCGGAACTATTTGGTCCTCCAGGTGGTGGATATGATGATGGTGGCGGTTGTTGTGGTGGTGGAGAATAATTTTGAGGTGGGTAGTTTGATGGTGGTGGTGGAGAATAATTTTGAGGTGGATAGTTTGATGGTGGTGGTGGAGAATAATTTGGAGGTGGATAATTTGATGGTGGATAATTTCCAGGAGGAGGAGGTGAATAGTTCCTTGGTGGAGGATAATTAAAAGAAGGAGGTGGTGAAGACTGATGAGGAATATGATTCCATACAGATCGAACTGCATCTGATATTAAAAACAAACAAAATCGATTTAAGATATATGACTAATGTGGATAATTATTACCGCCAGATTGTGGATGAAGATATTGTTCGATTCTATCCCAAGCACGTCCTACGGAAGGAGAAACTGGTCGATTATGATCAGCATTGTGTGCTGCGGCATTCCACACATGTGATACTGCTGAGCCAGAATCTTATCATGAAGAAGAAAATAATATTACAGTTATTTTTGAGAAAGTCGACTCTTACCTAATGGATGTGGTGGATTTGCATGCGTAGCAGCATTCCATGCGTGTGACACTGCCGAGTTAGGATCTTATCATGAAGAAGAAAATAATCTTAGAATTATTTTTGAAAAAGTGAACTCTTACCTAATGGATGTGGTGGATTTGCATGAGTAGCAGCATTCCACACATGTGACACTGCCGAGTTAGGATCTTATTATGGAGAAGATAATTATCTTAGAACTATTTTTAAAAGAGTTAAATCTTACTTAATGGATGTGGTGGATTTGCATGAGTAGCAGCATTCCACACGTGTGATACTGACGAGCCAGGATCTTATCATGAAGAAAAAAATTATCTTAGAATTATTTTGGAAAAAAGTCAAATCTTACTTATTGAATGTGGTGGATTTGCATGAGAAGCAGCATTCCATACATTTGAAACGACATTATGTGGATCTGAATAGAAGAAAGGTAGAGTAACAGAAAGGACTTTTGTTAATTGTTACATCTAACCAATATGTTAACATTGTATCTGCCAATCTAGGATGATTTATTTTATTATAAAACACATACAAATTCTGACGATCACAAAATTGATGATAGACAATATATGTATTTATCATCGTTAGTAGCAATAGCATTTAGTAAGCTACATAAGTAAGCATGCAAGCATATGGTAGTTTTCTAACATGTAATAATATCATTAGATATATATTATAACAGTAACTGCTTTTCAACAAGGTCATCAGATACCTGAGGATGGAAAAGTAGCAGAACGTTGGATAGTATGTGGATCAATACCAAGTTGACGAAGGATATTATCAATGGGTACATTTTCTATATAGAAAAAGAACGAAATGTGTTAATAGTTTTATTTTTGATCGTGAAAAATTATTAGAATAAATTATTTACCAGGAACATTGAAAGATGTTGATTGTCCAGATGATTGACCAATAATAGATGATGATGATATACCAGAATTAAAGGCACCTAAACCTGGATTTGGATTCTGTGTACATACACAAGTTAATGGTGCTCCAGGAGATTGTCCATTTTGCATAAAAACAACATTTGGTTGACCTGTTTGTAGTTGATTATAGGAAGTAAGTGAAGAAGGAAATAACTAAGTATAAATAAAACTACAACATTTCACATTAAATTAGATCTTATATTTACTGAGGTTTGAATTTG